AGTCAAGGAATATCCAGAAAGTTCAGAAAGACGCGTTCAAAGAGAAGGTGGATATTCAGTTTTTGTAAGCAAGATGCATATGAGAGTTTGATCCCCTGTCCAATAGTTTGTAACTGTTCATTTGGTGTTTTCCGATAAGCAACTTCGCAGCGAAGGCCTTCTTCCTTTCACGGGTACACCGGATGAGGTGGATGGACTGGGAAATGCCTCAAAATGAAATATTTAAAAAAACGTGCTGTCTACTTTAACGGTAGTCGCTGTTGAATCAAATATAGTGGTAAGCTTTTTTTCGCACCACTTTTTTGAAATGTGTTTTCGTGAAGAGTGAACCAATACAGAGGGCAAGTTTGGTGCCATACTGTATAATTACGAATTCGGCAGAAGTGATGTTTATTTTTCCATAAATCAGATGAAGTTGTGCTGGGTGAATGATTTCAACACTTGAGTGATAATTATTAAGTAATTATTGACTACTTACTTATTAATGAATTAAATAATTAAATAATTAATTAATTACTAATTGAATAAATAATAATATTGTTGAAATAGATGTAAGTGGCGTATCATGTACACGCGTCTCGCCTGAGTTCTATTGGAAGACGATTAATATAAACAACCAATTACAGTGTAGTAATATGGCCGTAATAAAACCCTCATATTTTATTCAATGATGCTGAACTTCAGCCTCATCTCAAGTTTGGTGGTCCGTGCGAGCTCAGTGATCAGTTGGGAAAATCTAGAAGACGCTTAAGGCGAAGTTTCGTGTTAAAAGCGTGTGAAAAATACAACATTGCTTACAGGCGGTCCCGGCTCTCCACGATCACCCTGAAAAACAAAACAAAAGGTTGTATTTGACGAGTTCACAGGTATGAACAGTATCGAAGAGATGGCTTATCGCGGTTCTATTCAAGTAGTTGATGGACTTTACTGATAGCATAAAATAGCTGGAGTCGATGGTCTATCGTCACGCAAGCATAATTTATCTGGACGCCTTACTGCAAAAAAGAACACAACAGGGTACTATTGGCCCCCTACTACAAGTGTGACAGTGAATACAACTGATAAGACTTGCGAGTAGTATGTTTTCCCGTAAATCCGCTTCGCGTCTATTGAAAAGTGAGATTTAATAAGGAAATGTGGAACAGCTTTGCAGTGTCTGTTTAGTCTGATGATACTCAGTGAATATCCAGGAAAGTTCAGGAAGACGCGTTCAAGGAGAAGATGGATATTCAGTTTTTATAAACAAGATGCATACGAGAGTTTTGCTTCCCTGTCCATTGGTTTATGACGGTTCAGTTGGTGTTTTCTAACAAGCAACTCCGCAGCAAAGACCTCTCTTTCACAGGTATCTAGGGGTGCCCACACATCCAGACACCCAGTACAGACAGTCGGGATGAAAACTAGCAGAACGGAGCTTCGAGTGAACCTTCTACTGCGAGGTGCGTCGCCTCGAGTATCTAGAATTTCCTGCAATCGCTTTTCCATCCCTCTGTGTCACTCTGAATGAGGTAGGGGAGGCGATAACTCAATATAGGTGGTACATGACCAAACTACCGGAGCTCACTTTATTGAACGATCTTTAACTTGGAATCCATGCTACACACCGGGACGTTTGTTTTCCAGCTGTCCCACTGTGGTCCTCTTGGGCACCAGGGACCTGGGAACGTACTGTAATTAGATCTATGCATCTCTTGAGATTCAGATATACTGGCCCTTAAGAGAACGAAAAACCAGGTGTCGGCCAGTTCTCATCATAGCTCTCACAAGTTTCAGATAAGTATTTTCATAAAGGAAACTGTTTTCACAAGGTTGCTGAAAACTTTTCGACAGCCCACGAACGGCTTCGCCCTTTCACTCCGGGCTCATCAGGTAGGCGCAGTCCCCGATTTTCCGTCAACCTTATGAGCTATTACAACTTAGGGGCGAGGTAGTTTGTTGGTTAGGGCGCAACTTTTCTGACTAAAAGTTCTGTGGTTCGAACTCGATCTCTGCCTCTCAACTTCCCCTGCCTGGGCTCGGGCAACCTGGCAGTATCCCAGTCCTCGTGCTTCCTTTGGGTGACATGGCAGCTAGGCACCGTGTTACAGATGAACGATTATCACAACTTACAATGCACACAGAAAGCTCACAACCCCCTGTTTCTCTGCTCGGAGTGTAAGTGGACTGTTCAGCAGCGGCGTGTTCGGGCAGACACCAGTAAATTCTTTCTCTTTAAAGGTGAGGATATGTCACAGGTAAACAAGATTTCCGTTTCTGACTATCTGAGCACGTGGCTTTTGTTTATATCCTGGCGTTCGCCTCAAAATCTCACTGATCAAATCGAATGGGGCTGACTGAAGTGGCCATCCTTGCTAGATGGAAGGAAAGCACTCCTCATACACCCCTACATTCCTACGGGCTTAAGGATATAAACACCTCATTATACTTGCTGACCTGTATACATTCATATAAATGTATTTGAGTGAGAGGTCGACTGGGTCAGGATCTTGGAGGCTGGAAAATATGCAGCACTTGAACTCAAAAGCTGAAAGAGGTAATGTAACCGCTCAGGAATCCGCGTGGATAGCACAAGATGATCACAAGAATTCCTGTTCATTGTGATTAGGATGTAACCCAAAGGCGCCCTTCTTCACAAGTAATTGTTGAGCGATTTGCTCCCTGACATTTTCATTCAAATAAGGTGTTTTGGGACTGTTCAGTTAGTTAA